AGCTTGGAAAGAAAGTCTCAATGGTTTTCCCAGGCTAAAGAAGTATAAGGAGGTTTTAGAAAGTAATTCGAACCAACTCTTTGTTTTTAGAAATATGAACTTTGAATTATTTGCTCAAACTCATGAAATCTTCGAAATACAACCAACATATTTCCATTTTTGTAACAAAAAGATTTTCACAATGTCTCTCACAATAGATTAGCGTCCATTCTTTATTATATAATATATGTAAATAGCTTTAAGAGCAGTCTTGGTTGCCTTAAGTCACATAGCACACGACGAAACAAAAGAAAATAAATCCAAACTCCATAATATTTTTATACTCTCGCAACAAAGTTGCTAAAGAGAGTATTATAATTTTGTTCACATAACGGTTGTTTGTAAGTCCTAAAACTAAAAGAGTCAGAAATAGGCTTATACATATATACCAAAGTGATCAGGGTGACGAGTAGAGTTGAAATCCGGATGTCTGTCTATCCGTCCATCCGTGAAAGCTGTAACTTGATTAAAAATTGAGATATCATGGTGAAACTTGGTACACGTATACCTTGGCTCCATAAGAAGGTTAAGTTCGGGCAAAATCGGCCCACTCCACGCCCACAAAATGGCGGAAACCGAAAACCTATAAAGTGTCATAAATTAGCCATAAATAAAGATATTAAAATGAAATTTGGTACAAAGGATCGCATTAGGGAGAGGCATATTTGGACGTAATTTTTTTGKAAAAGTGGGCGTGGCCCCGCCCCCTACTAAGTTTTTTGTACATATCTCGGAAACTRCTATAGCTATGTCAACCAATCTCTAMAGAGTTGTTTCGTTGAGGCATTTCCATATACAGWTAAAAAATGGAAGAAATCGGATAATAACCACGCCCACCTTCTGTACATAGGTTATGTAGAAAATCACTAAAAGTGCGTTAACCGACTAACAAAAAACGTCAGAAATACTAAATTTTACGGAAGAAATGTCAGAAGGAAGCTGCATCCAGGGTTTTTTTWAAAATTGAAAATGGGTGTKGCGTCGCCCACTTATGGACCAAAAACCATAAGAAGTACTCCACCGATTTCAATGAAATTCGGTATAYGATATTTTCTTAACGCCCTGATGACATCACCATTCACCAAATATGGGTGAAATCGGTTCACAACCACGCCTGAAATCTCGATTATCACTTTATCATGCGAGAATATAAAATGTTCGGTGACACCCGAACTTAGCCCTTCCTTACTTGTTTTCATAATTTTCGATCGTAGAATGTGTGTGATAAAAGCTTCTCAAAACCTTTCCGGATAATTAACAAAAATGTCTTAAGTTTTGGCTTTTTGCAGCACATGTTTTCTTCAGTTTAAGTTCTACTCTCAAATATTTWAAAAATCTATAAATTTATTATTTTTCAAATGCTTTTCAGAAGGCTTTCACAATATTATTCAAAATACAATTTAGTTTTAATTTAACTTTTACGACAACTGTGGCAACTCTATTCGAGAAATAGAATCTCGATATTATTGATTTTTTAAATAGCTTTTCAAAAAACTTCCTCAAAAAAATTTAAAACATAGTATAGATTTAATATGAATTTAACGACAACTGACAACTCTATTCGAGAAATTTAACTTCGGTATGAAATATTTTTCAAAAGCTTTTGGGAAGGCTTTCACAATTTTATTTAAATTACACTTTACACATATCTCCGGAGGAGCTGTACCCAAGCCATTAATCTCTCTCCTTCGCTGGATATAATAGAAGTACACAATCGGAAAATTTGAAACTATATTTGTAAGTTCTAAAAACTAAAGCATAATCATGAATATTGTTACTTTACTATAAAAAKTTTGAGTTGACCAGAGCACTGAGATACTAAGATCTTATTATAGGTGTAAAATTATGATTACAAAATTTTTTATAATCGACTTTTGAAGAAAATCTGATGGAAATTTGTTAAAACTATTTTTATGTTATCATTGCTTCAGCTCGAACATTGTTTTGTTGAAGTCAAAACTATTCCAAAAATAATATAKTCCAAAAATAATAAAAATTAAAAAACATCACAAAGACTGATCAAATATTACATAGAGGTAATGTTTCCCCCTTAATTATCCAATAAGCTTTGGCTCATATTCTGAACATTCAAAAGTATTTAAAATTCATGTCCTTAATTCYACATACACTTACCCATACACATACACACAAATTTTCCAGTTATGGCTAGTACTCTTAAGATTTAATGCAATAATGCACCAAAGGAACATAGAATTGCAATAAAGAAAAAWTTTGTACGCAGGTCGACAACAAAGTCGACAACAAGATTACTGCACTGACATATGTCACGTATACGCCACGTGGACTTGGAAGTGAATGAGTTGCACATGTGACTACTTACCATATATGCGCACATAAGCAAGGGATGTAGCTTAAAGCAACGAAATGAACTTGTTTTTAAAAACCTCAAAGTAAAAACAGCAGACAGAGAAAATATATTAGCAACTACCCCACATACATATTGCCATACATACAAATACACAAGCCGACAGCCAACAGGCGCCAAGTAACTCACCGCAACTCGAGTTGGAACGTGCAATTGTATTGCAATGGAAAAAACGTCAGCACAAGCAAATAAGCAATGATTGCAAAGAAAATCATTGCTAAACAAAAAATATGCAGTCCCACATACTTGTATGGGTGTGCTTGTGTACGTAAGCCAATTTTAAGCTCACGGTGCAGTGCTAGCCACGAGAAAATATAAAAAATAAATAAATAAATACTTTACCACAAAGAAGTGCATAAAAATAAGTTGAAATTGAAAATCGCATTTCCTTTTAGCATATYCTGAGCACAGCGTTGTGTTGGTGATAGCAAAAAATTATGCTGCATGGAAATATTTTGTGCGCAAAATTTTCTCCAAGCACTCATACTATGCAGATAAAAATCGTATTTTATGCTGTGGCTATGCAGCAATGCAACCAATGTTGTTGATTCAAGGCGAACGGAAATGTTGATGCTACGAAATTGCTGTGTCCAAGGCTACAGTGTCTCATTTGGCTGGCTGGCTAGAGAGTTACAAATGTGTATAACAAATTGCTATATAGTGATATGACTGCATATTTTAGAAACAACATTTAGCCTGAGAGTAAGGAATTTTATTACTTTTTCTTTACCTCCGTAATAAATTCCCTAGATTTGCGCTTTAGTGTTTAGAAGAAATACTATTTGTCGATACTTTTAAATATATAATACTTTGGGAGGCCCAAACTTATAATAACACAAATTTCAAGAAAAATAGGATTAATTGAAGCCCCTGGGAATAAATCAATAATAAGGAGTAAATATTCATTTTATTTCTTGTTCATAGTTATCTCGAGCTTACTCGGACTAAGTAAGTTAATCTGATTAAGTAAGTTAATCTGCTATATTCTACCATCATAAATATATAGCTGGAGTCCGACGACTTTAGATTATCGCCAATGAAAGCAAAGTTTCTTATTAAAACTGAAACAGTAAAGAGGTGACGCCTTATTAAAGCTTACGATTTTTCTGGCAAAGGTTGAATATAGTTAACATAAAACACCCTCCATTGTTATAAGACTCAGCAAATTGTGTTAATTTTTACCTCACTTCATTTATAACCTCATTGAATTTCACAAAAAGCTTCAGCAATATGTGACTTATGACAATTAATATAAAAAGAAACTGAAACAGTTACATTCGAAAATCATTTTACTACCTTTAGAATCATAATGAAAGATCTCGATATCTTATACTTCACTCGGTTCGTTCACTCGGTTCCAAAGATCTGATACGGTTGCAAAAAACTCTTCTAAATAGGTAGGTAGGTAGGAGTGCAGCCACCTGGGGATTAATTAGCGCTAGATGTGCCATTTCTATACACTATTTTAAGACCTTTATAATCTTKATATCTCTTTCTATGCATCGTTACGCTCACCCCATTATGTAGTCTGAATGAAACTTTTATATTAGTTATGCCTTTTGTAGACTTAGACTTATGACTTATATCAGTTACGCTTTTCATAGGCAGCTATTCAAAGTTTGGTTAATGAAATATTTAATTAGAAATTTTTATTGTTACAAACATACACTATTAGCAAAGAAACTCTTAAATTTATATAAAAATTAAGAATTAAAAAACAGAACAATAAAAATGTTTAAAATTGTAATAAAAATTGTGTCTAATTTATTGCATTACAAAAAATATGAGAGGATGTCTTGAAATGAAAATAATCTCCAACATAAGTTAATTCAACAATTTGTGATATTTCAGTTATTTTTCACTGTTTTTAAGCGTTAATGCCTCACTGTGTGAGCTTCTATACACATTTATATCTATTTAATCCATTTTTTCTCAAGGTTCTGCAATAATATACCAACAGTATTATGATAAAATAAATAGGGCAGCAATCGATGCAATTAAATATATAAATGCTTGAAACTTTGCTCAATAATAAAGTAGAAAATGTAAAGCAATAATCATAACAAGGGTCTGCAGAGCTTATTGAAACAACAAAGCTCTCCAAAAAGAATCATTTGGCGGTTGTAGATTTGCTTCGCTAAGCATATATTCGTTTCTTTCTACACTTTATTTTAGCCAATTGTTTGCACCAAATTAAGTCAAGYCGCCATTTCAATCAATTCTAAATGCAATTTCCGTTTTTATCACCACAACGCTTCGGACCTTCCGGCACTTTTTTAAGAAGCGAAAAAATGAAAAAAGTTGTCGTAAGAGGCCGAGATGGTTTTCGGTGTAAAGCAAATTAGATGTGGGTAAATTAATAGCTGAGCGCTGGCAATAATTTCTATTGTTCCTCGGCCCGCCATTTAATGTGCCGTTGCTAATTTGTTAGTTGAATGCGCTGATTTCTTACCTACTTTATTTTGTTCTTTATTTYTGACGTTCTTTTTGTTCTTTATTTTCTTTCTTGCAAACTGATCCTTCACAAATTCTAACAAATTTTCGTTTTACTTTTACACGCCGCTTTCATTTACAGTTAAATGTCGCCGGTTTGTCGAAGGCACTCGTGGCCTACAAAGTCTATCAGACGATGTTTCGTGTCGTGAAGGAATCGGAAACGGTGGATAGTCGTCAGCATTGCTTTCTGTTGCAGAGTTCCGGCCATGAGCCACGTTATCTGAGCGTCGAGACACGGCAGGAGCTGCTGCGCATCGAAAATAGCTGGAATGCGRCCATAGTGACGAGCGTAATTAAATTGGGCGTAAGTATTTTCWACAATTTTGTATATACATATGTATGTTATATGTATAAGCATATGTGCGTGTGCGTAAATTTGCGTAAGCACGATTTAGTTTTAATACAGCCACTTAAATGCCATTTGTACACAACCGCTCAAACAAATGAGACAATTTTACATTTTACGGTTATTACGGTTATTCCATCACATGCCACATTTCYCCGCAAGTTGCAAGCAACCAACCAAATTCCACACACAATTCTCGGCACACAATTGCGGTTGTGTGAGCACTTGAATGCCTCGAACACACACGYCGGTCGCCAAACGACGAGCATGTCTATTTGTTTGTATGTATATTTGTGGCATGAATGCTGTTGCGTTGTCTTTGTATGTATTCTCCTGGCCATTAGTACAATTACCGGGCGTCAGTCATTTGAACAACCGCTCTTGGCAGAAACGCATCATTGTCGTTGTGGCATTTTGCATGTTGTCCCGCAATTAGTAGCAACTTAACCTTGTCTACGAAGTTTTGTTTATAATCTGGTTATTTTGCGTACTCTACATTATTTTCTTCACAACTTTTACACAACGTACTTTAGCCTTGCCACGCACGAACGTTATGTAASGTTCTTTAGATGTGTGTTTGTGAATTATGAGACGTGATTTATTCACGCTTTTCGTTGAATTAAGGGCAGGGCTCCGTAATATTGCATAACTACCAGTAAATGAGTGTTGTTTTGCCGTAAAGAGCAATTTTCATTGAAATCGATAATCGAATTGATGGCCAATAAAGTCTTTAAAGTCTGAGTATTTTTTTCAGGGGAATGCAGAATACTTCAATATACTTTCTTTCCAATAGTAGAAGATATGACATATTTTATGTTGCTCTGTAGACATTACAAACTTTAATATTTAAAGGTTTAGGGTGATACAGGTTCTTCAAAAATTAGAACAAAACCTTTGACTTTGAGAATCAGCCAGCAAACTGCTGTAGAAGCACAACATTGATGAAGGAGTGAGGAAAGYCAGCAAAGCTTTATATGTTTGKAGACAGATTCTCAGCAYARCATGGGGACTCTCTGCTCTACGGTGCAGTAGTTTGATGAAAAACGTACGAAAATCTATCTCTCSAAAGCCAATACAAAGGGTTCAGAGATGTTCTGTGATGTGTATAAAAGGAGCTTTAAAACAACACTCCAACGGCGGCTTTGGAACTCGTACTGAACCTATAGACCTCTTCGCTGAAAACTGCGCAGCAAAATMGGCAGGGCGACTACTGACTGCAGGAGAATTTACATATATTATAGAACCTTCGGGCATAGCTATAAGGGCGGTTGGGCAAACACCAACTATATCATCCCACTTTTCAGCTGGGAAATAAGGTTCAAAGTAAACATAAAAAAAGATGGCTGGCGTAAAAGTATGTTAGCTACGCGTAACACTCTAAACATTTATGTCCAGACAGTATTTACATTTATTTACAGTCCAGAGTTAGACTTAGAGTTAGTAAGAAAACCTTTTAAGTCGCCGAACCACTGCAGTATATTCCAAGCTGAGGTCTTGGCTATTGCGAAGCCGCAGAGATGGCCTCTAATGCATTTTTAATCAATTCCAAACACACAGCAAAGCAGCAATCAAGGCAGTAACATCGTATCGCATATCGGGCAGAAGTGTCTTAGGAAGCAGTGCAGCGGTGGAAACTGTGGCCAGAAGCAAGCAACTTAACTTCTACTGAGTACCTAGCCACAAAGGCATTGAGGGCAATGAAATAGTGGACGAGATTGCCAACTATGTTGTACGGCTAATACCCGAAAACGTGATCAACATTGGGAAACCTCTATACGTTGATCTCGACAGAAGCAGGGTAAAAAAAATCACAACCCGATGGAAAGAACTACTTAGGTGCAAGACTGTAAAATGGTGTAGGCGTGGCTTATTAGCCTATCAGATTTACCTAACCTGCATTAAGCCATTCCCTAACGCTCTAGACTGATCAGAAGCATATAAATCAAACTATCAACAAACAAAAACCGTCAAAATTATCATAATGGATTTCTCATATCTTATTTTTTAGGAATTTCGAAAATGCAGGTGTGACCGCAAGATCAAACATAACTTGTACTGGCCTATTTAAACAGCSCGCGCAAACTGCATTGACAAACATTTTTCCCCAAATTTGTGACATCGCAATGGAATCTCGGCTACGGAATCGTTAAAAATATTTGCAGAAGTATCGTGGGAAATCTACTTTCTCATAAACAGAAGTATTTGAGTGGCACAACGCATTCAGTAAAGGTCGTGAAATTTTCGACAATTTTCCCCTTACGAGCAATGCTTGAAAAATGCCGTGCTGGCAAACAGAAAGATAGCAGGGATACCTAAATATCTTCCGGATCGACTCAACACGTTTTGGAGCAATGCTAGCATTATTATAATTGATTATTTAATCATACATTAAACGAGAGTGATCCAACTTATCCGCCAGATTTGGCTGCCCCTTATTTTTTTTCTGTTTTTGAAAAATAATAAAGGGCTTCAGCGAAGGCGCCATGAGTTCATGGACGAAATTTGGGTCTTTTCGTATTTTGTCAAAATTCGGCAAAAATTATTAATTATTTAATTATTTATTAATAAAAATAAAAAAAAGTTTAAATTTTATTAGAAATACGAAAAGACTTTTTCGATAAGTAATATATAAAAATCGACAAAAATATAAGCAAATAGTATTTCAGTTTTTTCTCAAATCTTATTGGCAGAGCGTCAAACCAACAACAACGGTAACAGCTTTAGCATGAAACAAGTAAAGACAGATCCCAGCAAGRCTGAAGACAATTTATTGATGCAATTCACTTGCATTTATGAAGGCAATTGACCGTTGACACACACATATAKCTGCAGCTCTCGAGGCTGCACTTAAGTGCAGACCACTTGCCATTCAATGGCAAGAGGATATTATTTGTTTCGGGTGACTTTCATATTTCATATTTTTAATGCAATTTTTTGGCAACACTATTTTTATGTACGTGARCTACAGAGCATAATGAAGAGGGAACAAAATTGGATTTAAGTATTAAGGTATGRTTGACAAAATATTTCTGGCATTTCTAAAGGATTATAATATTAAAAAAGCCATTACTTTAGTGTACCAAAATTTTGTGGCCGAAGGAGTTGGTTTKGTTAAAAGGCTAGCTTAAGCGTTCGTTCCTAACGCGGTCCATTGTAGTACCTACAACTCCTGTAAAATTAATTCYAWAAACCCTGATAAAAAWTTTTTGAGGCRTTAAGGTCTSTTTCRGTTCGCCGAAGGTATGACTGCCAAGATTTTTAAACCTCAGTCTTGTAATAGCTGGAAAATGGAAGATAAAGTACCTGAGAGTTTCTACCTTCTTTCAACAACTTCCGACTGTATTTTTAACCTTATATTTGTAAAATGCTTATTATTGTAAAATGTCCAGCARGAACTCTTCCAATTGCGACAAGATGAACTTTGCAGAGTATAAGTATTTGAGTAGATCACATTCTGATACAGTTACGATATATTTTCTTATATTAAATTATTTTTTATGTAATTAAATTGTTTAATCTCTCTTAATTGAATTGTGATAACTACAAAAGCTTAGATCGCCCTTTTATAAATTATAGGTACATAACTCAATATCAACTAAACTTGTTGGAGACATCTTACCATTTCATTATACAGTTTACAAATAGACAAATTTGCATAAGATCCGGAAATCACTATCAAATAACAAATATGAGGTCCTCAGTGCGTATGATTGACTTTTTACCTAAATAAAGACTTCCGGTTGACTTCATATCCTATATAACGGTCAATATATTTTTAAATTTATAGTTTTGCAGATGCCAGAATATATCAGATATATGTAGAGATAATGCTTTCAAAGTAAAAAATACAGGGTAATTTTTCATGCAGAAATATTGAAGCATAAGCCGTTAACAGAGCTTCCTCGGAACGTCTTGGGGAAAAATAATTTGCGGTGTTCACCATGACTCGGCTGGAAATTATTTGAAAATTATAATAAAATCTTCAAATCATTATCAAAGAAAAATCAGCAAAATTTTAAAAATAAAAACACTCTCCRCCAAATCTACAATATATAATAGATTTAACCGAAGTAAATATCTCTTGACTTTTCGCCACAAATCACTGTAAAAATGTACTTATACCATTATTGGCAAAGAACTGAGCACAAAAACACTTAATCGTGACATTTTACTTACCTTTACCCACAAAGCCACAGCTACCAAGGACAAAGCAGTAAAGCTGGCATGTCTAACAATCTCGTATAATATTTGGCAAAAGCATATGTGTGAACATGTCCACCTTTCCGAGCAGATATTAAGCTATATTATAAGCTTTCGTACAAACAACAATATGAGACCAAGACCAGACACTGAAATCACAAGGCCGACAATACCAAAAACTCATATGTGCTAATATATATTAAGTTGTGGTCACTAGCATGCACACCYAAAATTCATAAGCTCACAAATGTATAAATGTATATACAGACATATGTTTATGTAGAATGTCTACTTTTCCCGCATGGCGTCACCGCCCTTGAGCTTTCAGCTCTTAACTTTTGCTCAACACAACTTTTCCATAATGTCCATTGGTCACCGCAGCTCTTTCCATCCTATTGCTTGCTCACTAACTTGTTCGGCGACTTTTACATATACTTAAACAAAAAATACTTGCTCATTTATTCGAGCAATGCCGACAAGTTACTGTTACTGGTTGTTGGCATTCAAAGGACCTCGTGGTCGTCTGCTTTTTTGCTCCAAGTACAATGACCGCCGATATAATGCGGTGATTTAACAGTTACACACATATAATTATTTTCTCTCCTTTTTTTGGCGCATTTCTTGCCGCATTTTTGTTGTAGTGCCAAGGTACCAATAGTTACCAAACTTGTTTGCACTAACAACTCCACACCAGCAAAACTAAGTATTAAGAACTATTTGTGAAAATGCAAAAAATACTTGTATATGAGCGTGTACTCATATCCATCGATTTATTAGCACAAACGCGGAGGGGGTGTAGGAAAATTGTGGGAAATCGATAAGCATTTCATGCTGTGACAAGGTGCGTGTCTTTAACTAGGTATATGTGATATGCAGTGCACACAACTGCAGCCAGTATGCAAATTGGCTAAATTACAATCAAAGTAGCTGACAAAGGGGCTATCTGGATGCCAGACATTTCACACTGTGATTTTCGATTGTTTCGTAGGAAAAGAAATTAGGAGTGAGCTCATTASCTATAAATGGAATATGCAAGCTGGACAGTTTTCAGGGAAAATTTTTAAGTAAACTTTACAGTGTTTAGAAGAAGAGCAAAAAATAATCATGAACTGAAAATATTTGAAAGCTATGTACTTAGATTAATTATTTTATTGTACCTCAATTTTTTTTTTTTTCTTCATATGGGCGTAATGTGAAGTTCCATTTCAATATGTCAATTCATTCTTTGTTTACAAGCCATTTAGTGTCGCCATGTCACAATATTTTTTACAAAGGAAAAAATGGAATATCGTACAGTGTAAAATTCTTATTTTTTAAAGAAATTCACTAAAGAATCTTAGAAGTGTGCAATGATTGTTCACCTACTATTAGAACAGTAGAAAGATTGGTTGCTGAATTTAAACGTGGTCGCACAGGCCTTGAAGATGATCCACGTAAAGGACATCCAAAAAGCGCATCAACACCAGAAATCATAGAAAAAATACAGGCTATGATTTTGGAAAATCGTCGATTGACTAAGAAATATTTGCTAGAGAATGTACACATTTCACAGTGTGCCATATTTTAAGTGAAATTTTGGCTTTTAGAACACTGTATGCCCTATGAGTGTCGCATTCGCTAACAATGGAACAAAAAGATATTCTCAGCAACATTTGGAGGTTTTAAAAATTACAAAGTGGATTTTGTGCGTCGATTCATTACCATAGATGAAACTTGGATCTATCACCATGATCCTGAAATAAAACAATTGGCTAAAGAGTTTTGTGATCCTAATTGTGCGGCTTCGAAACGAGTTCGTGTCCGGAAATCGACCAAGAAGATTATGGCATGAGTTGTTTTTTTACTCGAGAGGAAATTTGTTTGCGGATTACTTGCAAACTGGTAAAACAAATTTATTCTAAATGTTATTGCAATCTTTTTGACCAGTTGAAGGAAAAACTCGCGAAAAAATAGCCTTTTTTCATCAGGACCGTGTCACAACAGCATTTTGACAATCTCTAAAATTCATTAACTAACGATCGAATTGTTGGAGCATCCACCGTATTCACCATATTTGGCCTCCAGCGACTTCCATTAGTTTCTAGAAGTCAAAAAATGTATGCGTGGCAAGCGTTTTTCACGGCTGTTGAAGCGTATTTTGCAGAACTTCCAGAATCTCACTTCAGGGATGGGATGCACAGATTGGAGGATCGTTGGAGCAAGTGTATTAATGTTCAAGGAGATTATACTGAATAATACAGTGTATTTTGAATCATAAAATTGTGTTTTCTTATAAACGACAAAACTTATTGAACAACCTGGTAGCCTAACCGGGCCCCAATTTTCCATCTGCAACCCTGAATATGGGAGGACTCTTATTAAAAGCAAGCTGAGTTGAAYGTTTTATAGAAAAAGAAACCAGCTAAGATGGTAAACATGTATGTATTCAATTTATAATTCTCAAAAATCTTTGATATACAGTAGCGCATTTAGGACGTCTATCCATCTTAAATAGGGTGTTATGGTCGATGTCATCAGAAAATTCACTTGTGGGGTTACATGGGTTTCCTCGTTTAAAAACAACAATTTTTTTTTAACAATTTTCTTCTTATATAAAAAAGTAAATATTTTATTAGAATTTTTGCCGTTACGAACATACACTTTTAACAAACAAACGACACTTTTTTTTTCAAATAGTTGTAATCGAAAAAAAATTTYATCTCAAATACCTGTGTAAAATTTCATGCAAATCGTTTGAATAGTTATAGAGAAATCTTGCCAACCGACTTCAAAAACACAGTTTCTAGAAAAAGGCGTTCAGGCGGCGCAGTTACTCTAGCTAGCCGAAAGCGAAGTTAATCTCATGAAATTTAATATTGTTTACTAAAATATTCGTATTCGGAATTGTTTATCTTAATGTAATTCTTAATATATGAAATGTAATGTAATATTTAGATCAAACTCTCTGCTGATCAAACATGGTTAATCTTAATGTAGATCAGTTGAACATGTAAATGACAAATTACAGGAAAATCACAGTTACCCTTAATTTTTAATAGCAGRGCAGCAAATAACAGACTGTAACTTYGTAATTCTTAGTGCGACATTACACGCAAGCCAATTACCTTACAGCTCTTTCTTTGAGAGGCGATTTTAATTTAATAAGTTTCAAGGCATTTTTCATAATGCAGGCATTTGAGGGTTGCTTTGAAGCAAAACGGAAGCAGTTTTACTTTTTACATCTTAATATTGAGTGGAAAATACAATTTTTTCTATCATTTAAAAAGCAACATGCAGTAAAATATTAATAGTTTTTATATATGTATATAGACATATATATAA